AAGCGGCGGGTGGCCATGGCGGCCGCGGCGGCGGCCGGGCCACCGACGTTATTAATAGAGAACCCGCCGGCCCACAAGGACAGACCAGCTCTGGCTGTCGTCTCCCGGCTCCGGCCTGGGCCGGTCCCAGCCACACTGCCCACGCCCACCGCCCTACCGACTCGGCGCGACACCGCCCCGGCGGCGTCCCTACCTCACAGCTCGCCTCGCCGCCCCGGCGGACGGAGACCGGTCAAATTTCCACGCCTGGTGCCAGGGTGCGGTCACACTGACCGGTCACCGACACCCGGTGGTGACAGACAGAAATATCGCCTCGCCACCTAACGCTTCAATGACAAACGCTGGCAGCGGGCACTCGGAGAAGAGCGAAGGAGACAGAAACGGAAAGAGAGAGAGAGAGAGAGAGAGAGAGGAGAGAGAGGAGAGAGAGAGAGAGAGAGAGAGAGAGAGAGAGAGAGAGAGAGAGGGAGAGAGAGAGAGAGAGAAAAGAGAAAAAGAGACAGAAGCAGAGAGTGAAAGAGAGAGTGAGGGAGTTAGAGGTCTCGAGGAGGCGGTGGAATAGAAGGGACCGTCTGCTGACTGACCTGCCTTCACCAGTTTGAAGCTAACACCGCTGTAGGTTCTGAGCAGGTCGGCGGCCGCTGGTGAGATGTCCCTCAGTGCCCCGCTCTCTCCAGCCATGGCTGCTGGCTCCCGAGTGCGAGGTGGAGGCGGCGGTGGCGGCGGGTCACTGGGAATGATCACACAGCTGGTCATTGGCATAGCCACACAGCAGGTTACTGCGAGCGGTCACACAACGGGTCACCGCCGGCGTCCGCACAGCAGGTCACTGCGAATGACGACACGGCAGGTTACTGCGAGCGGTCACAGGTGCCCCGCGGACCTCCGGTCCGGTGAGCGCGCGGGGTCAAGGCCAAACGGTCGGTACTGACCCCTGGGTGACGGGGCATGTAGATCTTAGGAGCCCAGGTCACTGCCGAGGCACCCTGGGGAGTGGGTGTCTCAGCGCCGCTGATGAATACGTTCCACAATAGTAGTCGCTAGTTGGCAGCGAGCAGTCGTCGGAACGCTGCCAGCGGTGACCCGAACCTCAGGGTCCTGGCCGTGGGATGGTGATAAAACTAGCCGCCACAGGCCGCCAGGGGGAGTGCAGTAACGTTACACCGCCTGAACCACAGGTGCTGAGGAGCCGAACTAATTGCTTAGAGACCTTCTACACCAATGATACAGAATAGTGGAATGCTGTAATCACAGTTCCAAGTGATGATAATTAAAATGTATTTTATTTTCAAACTCACCTAGCAGTGGCAGGAGCTCTCTCTGATGACACTCGCTCCGGCGGCACGGACTGGTCAGTCGTCACGGACTGCACGGGTGGCTCACACTGCTCGGACTGCGCGAGCGGCACGGGCGGCACGGATTGCGAGCGGAGCGCGGCGGGCGCCGACGGTGGTTGGGCGGGCACGTCAAGTAGGACCTCCACTGGGAAGATCACGTACATGGCCGTGGCCGACAGGCCATGGCGACACCACCGAGCCGACGGCCCACCTGCCACTGGCCGCCGCGCGCCACCTGACCGCCGCCGCCGCCGACGCCGACGCGTCGTCGGCGCAACGGCCGCGGCGTCGCTGGCGACGCAACAACAGGAGCGCCGCCGCCGACGGCCGCGCTCGCCAGGCGCGCGGGACGGGCGCGGTGGAGAGGGGTGGGGTGGGAGGCTGAGGGTAAATTGAGGCCAGCTCCAGTGTATGTCCCCAGCCAACTGCAATCCCTTGCCTTTCCTCTATTGCACAATCCCGACACCCTGCCCCATCTCCTTATTTTCATTCTCCGCGAGATGCATTCAATCCGCTACCGTTTTCCTCTCTCATATTCCCTCCTTTCTCCTTCCTCTCTCCCTCTCTCCCAGCTGAGGTGGGCTGGCCACGGAGCCATCCGACACAGCCCAGTGTGTATAATTCACGCTAGTGATAATCAGACTAACCGAGATTCTGTAAACAGAGGTCTACGAGCCGACCGCGCGGCGGCTCCGGACCGCATCAGAAATAAACTGCCAACTTAATGACTGGGCTAACTCAGCTGGGCAGGGGTTATTAGCCGTCTCTGCTATGACACCAACACAGGGCGGACGAGACGGGTCAATTAGGTAGGTATGCTGCAGACGTCCATGCATCGGGTGAAGTGAAACCATTACAAATATACATAAAACCCTACGTACTTACATTGCGAGCGGGCATGTGTAGCTGCATGACATGATAGCTCTTCCCGTAAAACCTTTTTTTGGGTCAAAAGTGGATGAACTTGACATCACTCTGACGTCCTTTCTGGCCAACCTTTCATATGCTCTGGAACGATTTTTTTTTTACACAAGCTGCATAAGCGATGTATGAGAGGGCACTGAAAGTTTCACGACGATCGACGCAGTAGTTACTAGTTACAGTACTAGTTACGCAGTAGTCAGGGGCGGAGCTTCCTATAGGTAGGACTTACCTACAGTTGGTGGGGCGGCTGCCCCACCAACTTGGTATTTTACCCCACCAATAAGCGTTTTGCCCCACCAACTTTGGCTGATTTCTTAGACTTTGTTGCTTTGCAAATTGCAATTAATCTTTTTCGCATTGAAGAGCTTTGGGAATGTCTGTTTCATGCAAAATATTATACCTATCTGTAATGATAGGAATTGATTCAGTGCTGGCATTTTATTCAACTTCATAATGCATGATATAAACATCATTTCAGACATGGTGGAACATTTGCAACCACAAAAAACTAGCAACACACGGATAATGTACGATGACGTATACCTACAAGCATGGACAGGTCTCGCGAGATTAAGCGGTAGGTTTTGCACTTTTACATTTCCGGTTATATCTCCGAAACTAATCGATCTACGATGAAGCCATTTTACACGATCATGGCCGGCTTGTTACCCAACAAGTCGATCGCATCTTCACCACTTAAAAGCTTAAGACGACGAAGATATAGCCTGAAGTACCTAGGTACACTAAATTTCCTATAGGTGCAAACCCTACCGCTAAAACCCGCGAGACCTGTACCTCCATAGGTATAGGTAGGTACACCGAATCGCGATTGGCTAGCCTAAATTTCGTGAACTTTTCAGGGTAGGTGTTGAATAATTAACTCCTTGGTAGGTATGTACAGCCCACCGCTAAAGTAATGTGTGGTTTTACCAATCTCAACGGATGGCTTTGACCGACGATTTTTAAATGCGGACTGATTGAAAAGTAAGACGTCAATAGATAAAGCTGTAGTTGCAAGGGTGAAGATACATGTAAGCTACATTAAAGTCTCGTTGCAGTCTGGCTGATCGTTCCTAGGCTTCAGAAGCAGAACATACCCATGACTGAAACCACACATTACTTCTGCTGTGGACTGTAACCTAGGGTAAGGTGCCTAATTAGCGACCCCCTTAATTTGAACCGTCATTGCTCACGCTCTGTGGGTGCCATGTGTTACTGGCTTGATTTTCGGAGAGATCGTTCATTTTTCTATTAAAATACCTTTAGTCATTTTCTGCCCCAATATTCACTAACTTATTTGTAGTGAGCATTTTGGCAAACCACTGCAAAAAAACGCTAATAGGGAACTCTTCCCGATTAGCGATCGGGGAGGGTCGCTAATAAGTCTATGGGTTTCCCCATATTAAAAATGGCAAAAAAATGCGACACCGGAAAAGATGAAATATGATCTAAAAAAGAAAACCTATACGCAAAGCACTCAATCACTTGAACAGGAACGTTTATCCAACACATTTACGTGAGTAAAAACTGATCACGTGATGCACCGAAGGCGAAAAGAAGGCGGAAACCCAAATTTTGCGGGCTATCTTGTATGATATTCGAGGTCCACCCTGAATTCGGCACCCCTGCAGTCGGTGACGACATTTGGCATCCCCTGCCACACATTGCAAGCTTCAGCAACACCTCATTTTCATTTCTCTCTTTTCCCCTTTCTTTCCCTTCTTGAGCTATTTGCGACCATGTCAGGCGCAAATAGGAAATATGAGTTGCGACACATTTTTAACCGCCATGCTGTGCACAGTTGAGCGATTCACTATGGGAAAACGGCAATCAATTAAAAAAGGAATGTCGATTCAGAATAAAAAGGTGCATCATCCTAATGTGCATCGCTTTTCATCAGAATTCAGAGAGGGCCCAAACACACACGTTTTGGATAAGAAACTCGTCATTTTCATTTAAACTCACCTGAAACGTTCCACCAGAAACATCGACGACCGGAAAATAATTTAATTTGATAACCAAAGTATGGCTGACCTTTTGACGATGTTTTCACCCCGTTTTCTCCTGCCAGTTTTTCTGTAGGGAGGTAGGTCGCAAATCGGAAAGGGTCGCTAATTAGGCACCTTATACCCTACTGGAAATGAAAGTTTTGTCGCGATCGGTCGCTTTTTGCATGACTCATCGTGAAAACCAAGAGGGTTCTGCCTACTTCTTATATGTATCTTGATAACTTGGTTTCTTCATTTATCGTAAGATCCTTAGTCCTTAGGTACCCCTTATCCTTACGAGTAGTAAAGTAATCTTGATCCTTACTACCCCCCCCCCCCCCACATCGTTAGGGGTGCCTACGAAAGCGGCGGGGAAAACACCTGAGTCGCAAAAAACGGTGAAGGTATTCCTTCAAAAGCTGCATGATCATTTGGCACAATATTATGCGGCAAACCATACGCTACCGACGATACTGCGGCAAAAGATATTGATTGCGTTTCAGTCCTTGGTTTCAGTCAGGCGACAGTTTATATATATTGAGTTGTTTTTCGCGGAATTACTGTAAATTGTGTTGAATCTTATCAATTTTGACGCACCGAAAAATTCATCATAGTGTCAACTTGTCTCGAGGTAAGTAAGCGGGAAAGGCGCTGTGTTTTGTGTCTTAGCTTAGCTTAGCTTACAGCTTCTCGAGATTTTGTCAGGCCAACTAGGCCTGTGGGTCTCGTTCTGACCAAGCTCATGGTAAGGATGCCAGGCTATCGGTCCTGTTCGGGGATGGCGAAGGCAAGGTCCGCCCAGTGACAGTCTAGGTTGGATTTAAATGTGTTGAGTGAGGGTGAGTTGACCACATAGGTTGGAAGGGAATTCCAGTCATTTACAATCCTTGAAGCAAATGCGTTTCTCCTGATCCTGGATTCAGCACGCAGCTTCTTCAACTTCCATTGGTGCCCTCTGGTGATACTTCCGGTTGCTTGGTCAAAGAAGATTTCTGGGTGAATGTCGATGCCAGCATGGAAGATCTGGTACGCCAGGATCATATCGCCTCTTCTACGATGATAATACAATGATGGCAGGTTCAGGAGCTGAAGTCTCTCTGTGTATGGTCTGTGTCTGATGTTTCGGACAAGCTTTGTAGCGCGCCTCTGTACACGCTCGACGAGGATTTGGTCCGCACGATTAAAAGGTCCCCATACTGCATTACCTACCATATTCAAGATGTGGTCACACAAAGGTTTTGAAGAGAATTGGTAGAGTTTCATGATCCAGTTTCTGAAAAGATCTCTTAAAAAGATCGTGTCGTGCTATGCCTTCTTATCAGTGTTCTAAATTTGGATTTTGTTAGGTGTGTTGATCAAGAAACAATGTCGGGAAGTCCTAGGATGGAAAGAGGAGATAAATGCCTAGAATATTTTTGAAAAACATTGATGTTATTTTGATGCTAATTGATAATGCAGGATTTCATGCCAAGATATTGACGGCATGTGGAAGAAAAGGACGTGGATTGTGGATGCAGTAACTGTAGTCATATTTAGGGCCTGTTCCAGCGCCTCCAGAAACCTCCAGAAAGCTCCAGAAAGCTCTAGAATCCTCCAGAGAGCGTTCCAGCGCCTCCAGAAAGCTCCAGAAAGCTCTCGCCAAAGCTCCAGAAACCTCCAGTAGCCTCCAGAGAGTTGGGAGGTCCAAATTTCTCTGGAGGCTCTGGTCTACAATTATGGCGCACATGTGACAATCACGAATGTAAACAAAGGACTTTTGACTGATTATTTTACAACTTGAATGTGAAGAAAATTACATTGCTATAATTTTGTTAATCTTTCTTAATAAAATTGAAAACAAATTTTGCGTTTAAAGAGAGAACAGTCGTCATACTTTTGGTACCGGGAGTTCCTAAATAAACAGTCGTATGTAAAAGCTGTATATTATCAGCATGGAAGGCATGACAAAAACGAATCACTTTCTAACATACACAATAGTCGATGCCATTTCACGTGATACCATCTTCTTTTTGCTGTCGCTTCATTTGCGGCCACAGAGGACGTGTTCCAGATGAGCCCCCTCTCGCTCCACACACAGCTCTGCGCGTCGCCGAGCGGACTCCACCGCAGCCCGGCAGATCTCCGGCCGCACTCGGCGCACCGCGGACGACACGGCCCTCTTGAGGTCATCTGTGGTTCTGGGGTTGCTTTTGTAGACCTGTGACTTCAGGTGACCCCAGAGAAAGAAGTCAAGTGGGGTCAGATCCGGAGAGTGCGGGGGCCAGGTCCGCACCTCTCTGCGGGAGATAACCCGCGAACCGAATCGGTTCCGCAGCCATTCTCGAGTCGCAACGGCCGTGTGCGCCGAGGCTCCGTCTTGTTGGAACCATTGTTGGTCCATCAGCTGCCTGTCTCCACCCAGCCGCCTGTTCAGCGCAGTCCAGAACTTGGCTAGGACTTGCCGGTAGCGCTGAGCGTTGACGGTGACAGACTCCCCAGCGTCGTTCTCAAACCAGAAAGGTCCGATTATGCCACTGCTGCTCATTGCACACCAGGCTGTGCACTTCACACTGTGCAGAGGGGCTTCCGCGACCAAATCGGGTGGCTCCGTCGACCAGAGGCCAGTTTTACCAAAAAATACCAGCCGGCCGCCGAAATAAAATATCCAGCCGAAAAAATAGCCGCCACACAGCCACGAGTTTCACCAACAAAAAAATTCCAGCCGACTTCGGCCGGAAATATTTGTCGCCGGCAGTCAGCTGATATTTTTATATCGATAATGGTCAAGGAGATTGATAAATGATTTAAAACATGTTTTAATTAAATTTAAGCGCGTTTTTTAATGCAAATAGCACAAATGCTTTGCAATATTATTATTGGAAAACATTATATATATTTTTAATAGTTGTAACCGCAAAATAGATCATAATAACTTGCCAATACAAGACCACCAAATTGTAAACCTACGTCATTTATGAAGGTGACGATAGGAAGGATCTTTTTTCCTGTCAGCCTATTATATTTCATTTTTACAATACTTTCAAGTTGCAATTTACCTTTTTGTCTGCTTTTAGTCGCACCTTGTAGAAAATCATCGTGTCGAACGTGCACGCAATGTATGGACCCCCACTCCCACCTTTTATGAGGTGGGGACTATGATAGATGGGACCCGCTCCCGACGGATCCGGGAGTCGCACCTCTTTCCTAGATGTGAAAAGAGTGGGGAAGAAGCGGCAAATATTGTTCCCAGAGGCGCCACCTGAAGCTGGACGGACAGTTCCGCTGCCGAGCGAGTGAACTGCGGTGCTGCGAGGCGGCTTCGCGCGCACTGCATTACACCTACTTCTAGGACCGAGGGCTAAGGATTCGCCAAGGCCTATATAAAGCCTTGTGCCAAGGCGAGTGTCTTATCTCAGGAAGATACCTACCCAGATTAACTGCACCGCGGTCATTGCAGGGCTGAGGGCGGTCGTTCGCCCCACTTCGGCGAGGTGGAGGTCATGCTGCCCGGCTAGGTGGTTTCAGCTGATATGCAGGCCCCGTTTGCCGGGCCCGGTCAAGACGAAGGAACGCCACAGTCCACACAGCAAACAATATAAGCTCCGGCCCCGCTACACTGGTCCGGCTCGTAGCAATACCTGCGCTAGCTTCGTCGACCGTCGTTCGACTGCGCCCAGTACCGCTCAGTGGAGAGTCCTGCCGAACTCATCCACGTGTGCCGAGATCATTCGTTGCGCACGGACACAATCGTCCGACGGAGACCGCTTTACATGATGATCGCGTGGTGACCACCTTTTCGCCGGCTTCCACGCCCAGTCGAGCCGTCCGGCTACGCCCCAACCTAATGATCGCTCTAAGCCTTTCGACTGGTTTGCAAAACTCGGGTCTAATATCGAAGTATTTGGGAGTTATGACTTATGACACGTTAAAACCGTGTTCATGAACAAATATACATTATGCAACTAAAAACGCCTTACTTACTTAAACTTTTCTAGGCTGATGACAACCTATTCATTGTAATATTTCTAAAATGTAAATAAATCATGAGCGATGAGCATAAAAAGGTGAAAAAAGCGATCAACTAGAAGCTAGTGTGGAAATCCACTGACGTAGGTCGCCTCGTACTGGCGCAGCTCGTACAGCGGCACCGGCGTCTCCCGCACCCGGCCGTCCGCCTTGCCCGCCTGCGCCATCAGCCGCTGGAAATGGCTGCGCTGCCGCTCAAACATTAGCGTGACCGCCTGGCCGGCCCGGCTGACGCGCGCCGTCCGACGCACGCAGTGTGCCTTCAACAGCGCCGAGATGTCGTACGACGCGACCGCGTCCACGGCGTCCACGTCAATAACGCGCGCCATAGCCTCGAGCACACCAGCGCGGCCATCTCAGCTAGCGCGCGCCGCCGCTGGCCCGCCGGCACTGCCCCAGGGAACTCGGCCTCGCGCGCGCCCAGCACCGACAGCGGTAGCTCCAGCTGGTGCGCCGCCTCGTTCCAGTTGACCAACACGAGCGAGCGCCGCCAGTCGGGCTGTCGGAGCAAATTGTGCATCAGCAGCGGCTTCAGCGGCTGCGGCGCCACCACGTTGAACGACTCGCTCAGCTCGGCCGGCGTGGTGAACCTGCCGACGAACTGACCGGACAGTGCGACGGCGGCGGCCGCCGTGCCGGCAGTGTCCCAAAATTATATTTTGGCTTGGGTGTCAGAGGGGAATATTCGTCACAATGTCAGTCAGAAAGGCAGAGAAAGAGGGAAAACAGAGATCATTAGTTTATTTGTGAATTTTGGAGGATGTGGGAGCTGCTTTACCTACCTATAAGATTATTGAATCGAATATGGAGTAGGTAAAAGTTACGCGCAGATGCTCTTTTGGTAGAATAGGGAGTGAAAATTGTTGTGGAAAATTGGATGTGGGAGCGGAAAATTATTTTGATTTGGATGCCCCTTCCCACCCAAACTGGCAGATTTTGGGACACTGCGTGCCGGCCACCAGCAGTCGCGGCTGGAACAGCGACATTCGCTCCAGCTTCTCCGGCCTCCGGGTTCTGTGACAGGGTGGCCAAGAACGGCAGCTTCTGCAGCGGCAGGTGAGGCGCGCAGACGGCGGCGGCCGTCAGCCGGCCGGCGATGCAGGGCGGCGGGCCGTGGCCGCCGCCACCCGCTCCACCGCTTTCAGTCAGCCCGTCTCGGCCATCTCGATCACCCGGTCGGCTTCGTCGATCACCAGGTAGCGCAGGTGCGCTAGCGAGAAGCCCTCGGCGCTGGTTATGTGATCCATCAGCCAGCCGGGAGTGCTCACCACGATCAGCCAGGGAGACCGGGCCGCGCGGCCCCACCGCCACCAGTTGGTGCCCCCCTCGTGCCACTGTGTCTCCACCCAGCAGCCGGACGCAGAGCGGCGTGTCGGCGTCGTACTGGCGGAACACGGCGGGCACCTGAGCGGGCAGCGCCTGTGTGGGTAGCACAGCTAGCGCACGCACCCGGCGGCCGGCGCACCGCGGCGCCGCGCCTGCACCAGCGGCAGCACGAACGCCAGCGTCTAACCGCGGCCGGCCGGCGCCGAGACGCAGAGGTCGGCCGGTGGCAGCGGCGACTCTGCGGCCGCCAGCAGCTCGGGCAGCACCGTCACCTGCACCAGGAACACCTGTTCGATGCCCTCGGCGGCCAGCCGGGCGCGCAGCTCGGGGCAGAGCGCCGGCAGATTGGCCGGCGCCGGCCGCCGGTCGCCAATCGGCTGCGGGTGCGCCAGCCAGTCGGGCAGCGCACGCGGTGCACGGCCTGTCGGCTCGAGCGCTCCACCTCGTCCAGCACGGTGAAGTCGTCCGCGGCGGCGTCTCCATCCGACTCGGAGGTGTCCTCACTGTCGTTATTGGCGACGGCGGCTGCCGCTGTGCGCTCAGTCAGGTCGGCCATCACAGCAACACTCGCCGATGATTGGCGTCATCGAAACCGTCGGACGACGGTGGATTCACCACCGTTTTTGCAGCAGAGACTGGAAAAACCTCAGCAATAAACAAGGGAAAACTTCACAACATGCCACAGCCCGCAATTGTGCATATTGTCATTTTATTTCTCACATGACAGAAAATATTGGCTGCTTTATTCTAGGAACTGGCATGAAAAACATAAGCTAAAATCAAGCTAAGTGAATTATTATTGTATTTCAACATGAGACTGGGAAAAAATCCTTGTCACTGTCAACATGACCAGTGTAATGGTAACGGACGGGCTGCATGAACATTTCAGCGCATGATCTGAAAACTCTGTGTGCAGAAATTTCAGCGCTGAGGTGAGCAAATAACATTTCGGCCGCAATCTGCCTGGTGCCTCAACAATTTAGCAAAACTAACTCACAATACTTACAGCCAGTTTTAACACCCTGCATGACTCATGCATGCAAGATACACATGCATTCAATATCAGCAAAGTGCACACTGACACACAACAGTTATGGATTCATTTACATTTTACATTACTATTATTTTCTTTTCCTTCAATATTGGCAGCATGACTTGCTGAGTTCAGTGGCACAATCTTATGACAGCATTCAGCAAGTTTGTTCGGGTTCGCACCCACGCAAACTTTGCACGTTTTGCTTCAAAAACAAGCCTTTATACATTTCTTTCATGCTATTCAATTTCTTTTTTTTAATTTATTGTCATTTATCTTGAAAATCTTGCCATTTTGGTCTTAGCAATGTCAATGCACCTTCCCTATTCCGCACAGCTCAAGTAAGTTCCACCCAAAAGTAGTAGTATCAGTAGCTGGTGCCTTGCAATGTCAATGTCAAATGTAGCTGAATATGTGAAAACAGTGACATATTTATTTAAAATCTTGAGTCCAATGAGCCTGCCCTCTCTGCCTCTCCTTCCAGCATTTCTTCAAGCACCTTCAATTTTCAAAAATGACCTTCCATCATTATTTTCCACTTCCGTGCGAGCAATGAGCTTGTAAGCTGACCACTAGTTAATGCGCTATCATCTTTCTGTTGGGTGCTTGTAGCAAAAAGATAATATAAAACGAAAAAAACTAACACCACAACACCAAACACCAGTCTTGTTGGTTCCTTTTGGTCCTGCCTGGTGACAAAGGCTCTTTCTTTACGCAATATCATCAGTATTCCTCTTCTAATCTTGAAGCCCAGATGCTTTACAAATTGGCCATGAATGATACTAAATTATTATATCAACTGGGAAGCGCAAATCACGATAATTAGTAACAAATGAGGCCAATTGTTCCAACACGACATCAAAAAAATAGACGGGGTCGCCCAAGGCCCTATATACCAGGTAGGGTCGTCCGGCGATTCTACCTTTTCGTGACGTCAGCTCGTGACGTCATTTGGAGTCAAGTCTCGAAGCCCCGTTCAATCCTCATGTAAATGAGCGATTTTCGAAGCACTGTAGAATGAAGTCTGCACAAGATATATCAAACTTAAGTATCTTATCTGAAAGAGCAGACAATTTTCTGCAAGTTATCTATTACGTGTTTTTCGCTAAATCTTTTGCTTTTTTCATAAAAGCGTAAAATGTCCCCCCATGTCTCCGCAGCCTCCCTGCCGCCGGCCGCCGCGCGGTCGCGGTAGTGTAGTGGTTAGCGTGCCCGCGCAGTATTCCAAAGGTCCCGAGTTCGAATCTATGCGGTGTGGAACTTTAATTGCAATTCCAAGCTGAACATACGCACATCCATAATAAATTATTATTCGTATAGCTAAACTGTCACCAAGCTATCCATATAAATTGACTTCACCCAAAATATCGGCAAGATTCTATTAAAATATAAATTCAAATATGGCGGCTTGGACTGCCGCGTGCGTTAGGCTCCGCCCATAGCTCCGCCCACATGCGTGACGTCATTCGTGTTAGTGGACACGCAGAGAGATAGGGGACGACATGGGCCTGGGGTCGCCCGTCTATTTTTTGGGCTGTTTTTCTACAAATAATGGCGCAAAATAACACTCCATTAATGCCGCATTTGCCGTTGGTGAAACTCATTGGCTATTTTTCTGGCTGATATTTTTTCACGCCGGCGGATATTTTTTCGCCTGGTTGGTGAAACTCGTCGGCTGGTTTTTGACAGAAAAATTGCGCCGGGCTGCTATTTTTCTGTTGGTAAAACTGGCCTCTGAATCGAAAATTCTGGGAGTTCACGCGGCCATCCATATGAAAATGGGTTTCGTCGCTGAACCAGATTCGGTGAAGGAACTCATTGTCCTGCTCGCAATTTCTCAAAAACCAGCCGCTGTAAAGAAGCCGTGACTGTTTGTCGACTTTCGACAGTGCTTGGTGAACGGAGACCTTATACGGGAACAGCTGAACGTCGTTTCTGGCCAAACGGTGAGCGGTGGTTTTGCTACAGCCCAGTTCCTGGCCCAGCCGTCTGAGCGACTTTTGTGGGCTCCTCTGGAGGGCTTCTCGTGCCTTTTGGGCGTTTAAAGGCGTCCTCTTGGATCTTTTTCGGCCACATTTACCCTTTTTTACGTTCTCCACACTACCTCTTGCCAAAAACTTCTCAACTATACTTAAAATGACGGTTCTTGATGGCACTTGGGTCCTTTTTAAGTGTCGGCGTAGCTTACGTTGTGTTGCAACGATTGACTTTGTCTCAAAATAGAAATGTACTATTTTTGTTTTTATGTCTGTACTATACGGCTGCATGATAGAAAGTGATTGATTTTGGTATGAAATAAAATGGCATTGCACGTGCTATCATCACGTGCAATTTGATTGTTGTGATTTTGTTAGTTGACGCCACTAGAAGCAAAAATAATTCGACTGTTTATTTAGGAACTCCCGGTATCTGTGATGCCAATCTCCAGAAATCTCCAGATTGCATTCCAGCGCCTCCAGTGAAACCTCTGGTAGAGCCTCCAGCAAGGCCCTCCAGTCAAGAATTTCTACTGGAGGCGCTGGAACAGGCCCTTAGCCTGGTTCTTTGAATGCATAAGCTTTGTTTGTTTGTTTGTTTATTGGGGCTTTAGGGCGCGTCGACTGCAAAGGTCATTTTGCGCCTATGAATGCATAAGCTTATTTAAAGATAAAATAATGCAATTTTTTTCTGATTTTGGAATGAAAATGTTTTTGGAATGTAAATGTGATTTACAACCCGAAATTGACAAATGGAACACTTCATTCTACTTGGTTCCTAAATTTGTGATGAACAAAGTTGTGGATGTCTGTAGTTTTTTGTTTGTTATAACAGCCTTGAAAAAATTAAAACTATACTGATGTGAAGCATGAATGATGAAATTTGCCTCATTTGATCAGATATCTTTCAATTCTGCATCAAACAGTTTGTAGAGTTGGATCAAGCAGCTGCTGCTTGACTAGCATCCAAAAAGGCACCTATTATACTTGACTACTTATATTAAAGAAGTGTTTTCTGGACTGACTGGATTGACTGGCGCTGGACTCGTGCTCAGGTTTAGACAATTTTATGTAAACTGTTGCTTCTTGCCATGCCACTGCCAATTCAGTATATGACAATGAAACATCACAAGCCAGAGGCCTATATTTTAAACAAGAGATCACTGACTTCAGTTACTTTTTAGCTTGTCACCCCAAAATTTCAGGGGTCATGCAAAAACATGCTTACATTAAGATATCTGCCAGCCTAACTTGAATTGATGTTTTGAAACCAAAAGTCATTTCTTGACATGATTGATTTGTATTGTAGAAGGCTTTCAGAAGTAAAAATACTGGAAGCCCTCAACTTTTTGCTGTTGATAAAACTAGCCTCAGAGAGAACATTCTTGCAAACAAGTTATAGGCAGCGATACCAGTGACATTTCTTGCTATGGCAACATTTTTATTTCCTAGTGCCTTTAGCAATGATATGATATTTTATCAATTTTAATTTTGAATCAAATGAAGATAGGTACCAAGGACAGGGAAGCTATTTTTGGTTTGCAGTTTGCACTGCTTCATTATTTTGCAAAACAAGAAAAGCACAGGCACCAGCTAGACCACAGTGCACTTGATATGCCAAACAAGCCACTCATCTTATCCTCAAAATTTGGCTACTCAAGTGATTTTTCACTGTAGGGCCCTAAGGTGCTGATATCTAATTAAATGCTGATTGGTTGAACAATGCTCATTACAGCTCACAAGAGCAGATGATGGCTGCTCACAGCTGTCTCCATTCTTAGTAATCGCTGAAAGTGCAGGATTCAACCCTTTGCTTTTCCATTATGGTAAGAAGTAACGCTAGATTAAAGGGACCCTCCCACCTTAACATTAGATTTGAGTTGAGATAGCCAAAATGGGGTTGCTGGCTCACAATTACCGGTTTCGGCACTCACAACATCAAGAACTGCCTTAAATCGGAAATATTGAATTTCAAAATTGCAGCATTTTGATTCAGAGGGGCTAATGCTTAGGAATACCCTTGGGAATACCCCTCTGAATGTGTGACGTCAGCGCAGATATCTAACGATTTTTAAATGTTTGACTAAAACGTTTTGTAGCACGCGGTGGTATATGCTATTTGCGCGCAACATCTGCCGCAAACGCCGCACTTCTAAAATAAAGTCGCTAGAAACAGCGGAGATCCCAAAAAAGTAAACAAAAGTAAAAGTATAATATCTTGAAAACCGGTGAATATTTTTCGGTGAAATTTGGTAGATATTCGTTTTCGCTCTTTCTGAACCGAGCGACATCACTTTCATGCCAATTCATAAACTTTTTTGAAGGTGGGAGGGTCCCTTTAAGCCTTATTGTCCAACAGTTATCATAACATTTCTTTTATTTCCCTCCATGCTTTGCTATCCTAGTTTTTTTTTTCTCCAGTTTTCTCCAGTTCTCTAGTGTTTTTTCCTCCAGTTTCAGGATGATTGAATATGACCCAGTTGCCAGTTCCCATTGACACCTTCACAAATAAAGATCAAATTTATAGTGCCTTTTATTTGAAGCAAAATTGACCTTGGCTAGTTTTTAAACATGGCATGATTCTTATTTCTTTTTTCATGTATGTAATGGAGCATCTAGCTCTGTAGATCAGGTCAATCTGTAGGCTGTCAATCCTATTTGCTGATCACTTATTCAGTATTCACCACAAGATCTTGCAACATCTTGCAAGATGTTAAAACACATGATCTGTCATGCATCTTATATTGATATGCTGATGTAATCGCGTCATACAACTGCTTTTTTTACTCCCAATTCAGCATGCAGTACCTATTCAGTATGCAACGGAACGACTTCAGTATAGCCCCTGGAAGGGCTGCTCTCGACTATGAAGTTGCTCCATTACTTGCTGGGCGCTGGTGGAAGGCTTGTTGCTGTCAGATGCTGCTGGAAAATTTCCCTAACTATAGACTCGTACGTCTGCGGACTTGGTATGTCTGAATGCTGCTCAGCTGGAGGACGAAACGACGACGAGTGAATCCGAGAGCATTTGAAGTACTAACCAGTTGCCTAGTACGTGGTCGCTCGGCAGCGGAGTGATTGAAGACACAAGCGCCCGTGTGGAGGTTTTACGTGTAGAGACGCGCAGCACTGGGTGGTTGCGAATGGACGACCTGCGGCCGCCGTCATGGCGCAGGGCCGTGGTGTATGGGCTGCAATATGTTCGCAGCTCTCGCGGGATAGATTTGGCTACATGTCGGTGCTGCGCATCTGAAGCAGCTGGTACGTGCCCCAGTTTTTAATTGCCGTACGTCAGAAGGAAGGCGTCACGAGGTGGAGTGCGTTAGCGCGTGTGCTCGCCGCTCAAAAACAGTCGCCGCGCCCGCCCGCCTGCTCAGTATGCCTGATGCGACCTAATTAAGTTAGCGTCGCCCGGCTTTCCGTCTATCCGGGATCGTGGAGGCGGCCGGAGTGCCCCCCAGCAGCTGCAAAAACAGGCGACCGCGCCGCTCCGGGTCCCGATCGGGCTTTATTAACGGAGCTCCGGCGCCGACTGCATGCGCGTGTGGTGCTAACGAACCAAATATAATGCACGCCGGCGCCGGCACCTAGCACCTGGGACCGTATCTGCGCGGCATTCGCTCTGGCGCACTGCTAACAACGTGCATACAGCATCGCAATATCCAACGCGCTGCTTGTGAGGAAACACTTCGGAATCATCAATCTAACATCGTTCAGTGCACTCGTATCTCTAAGGAAAGATGTAATAAAATGCATCGCGAACGCGTGTCACTCTTTCGCCGAAGGTCTCTTGAACACGAACATTTTTTCTGTGCTCGTACGTGTGAACAGGATGGTCCGGCTGGAGTGGCAATTCCTTAGCGTGATTATCGGGCGTCCAGCCTCTCAGCTCGGCGCCGGTCGTTGCTCGCCAGTCGGATGTTCGTGCTCGAGATCCACTGCTCGTCTCTCACCCCTCCTCTTCCCCTCCGACCTTATACCTGCCTCTCCGGCCGGTGCAGCGGTGGCGCGCGGCCGCTGCGTTTCTCAGCCGGAGCGGCCGCCCTGTCGGAAGGGACGACCGATCTGTCTCGGGCGCGCTGGACGGCCGTAAATGCTCCGACGCACGGGCACCGGTGCAGGCGGCCGCGCCGGTAGACGGACTACCTGCCAGCGGCCGGACGGAGCGGCCGCCGCGCGGAGGGATGGACCGCCGCCGCCGCTGGTCAGCCGGCCGGAGTGGGTTCGGTACCGCCTCTGGGGAGGCTCTGCCGCCGCGGCTCCGCTCTGCCGAGTCGATTTTGTACCGGGAGGTATCGATGGTTGCCTCCGAACTGACGCCGCTGGCTCCGTCCGAGTGTTCAGCTGTCTCGAATGGCATTTGCTCGGATCAGCACCTCACTACGCTGTGTTTGCCGAGCCCCAGCTCCGCTGGGACGCGAGGAAATGGCGAGTGGAAAATGGATTTATTAAACATGTTTTAGGAGTGTCGGGCTTTTACCAATACCCTGGAGATATTCAGGCTCTCAGATGAAAATGGATAGCATTGCACCGGAGGCAGACATAAAACATACTGTCAAATGGTAACCATTTCAGAGGAGATTCGAAGATGCATGCTCCATTCCGAAAAATGGGACTCATTTCGCGTTTTCGGTGTTTCGATTTCGGCCCAATTTGCCGGCGCGGACGGCGGCCGGTCGCCGGTATCGGAGACTCGGTGGCTCGATAGCCGCGGCCATCAGGGGCGACATGTGCCCGGCCGGCCGGGTGAGGGCCTTTACGCCCCATTTGCCGGTCAATCATGTCTGAGCCCGGTCGATGAGCGCGTGTCGCCCGCTGATTGGGCTGACCTGCTTCCGGGCGGTGACCGTCGCGTGGGGGTCGCGCTGACACGCGTCCGGTGGCCGCCGGGCGGACGGCGGTGCCAGTCACAGAGGCGTCAGGCGTGGAGCGGCCGGCCCCTGACACCCGCCGTCAGAGAATTGGATCGGTGTGACGGCTCGGGTGGCGGGGAAGCGGCGTCTGCTCCCTGCTTCAGACTACTCCTGACGGGATTTCTGCGACTGAGCACCTGCGTTTATAGTGCACTTATATTTGATGTGCAGTGACTTCGCGACTTTGTATTGTGAATACTAGCGGCACGGCCAATAATTGTTCACCAGCTGGACATGGAATATCGTTAACTACATATACCGGGCTCATTTTCTTCCTCACGGGCGCTTTGTAGAGCCCTGTCTAGGGCGGTGGCGGCGGTGGTGTGGCGTCCTGTCCTCCCCTCAGCTCGGCTGAACCGGCCTAACGTCGCCCCGTTTCGCCGGCAGGACCGTGGTACGCCGCCGCCGCCGCCGCCGCCGCCATGAACTGTATGGAGTCGGACGCCAAGTCGGACATTGACAGAGACCGGCAGCGGTACCCATTCTGCGTGGTCTGGACGCCCATCCCGGTACTCACCTGGCTGTTCCCCTTCATCGGCCACATGGGCATCGCCATGTCGTCGGGCGTCATCCGCGACTTCGCCGGCCCCTACTTTGTCGGCGAGGACGACATGGCGTTCGGGAAGCCGACGCGCTACTGGCGGCTGGACCCGCAGCGCGCCGCCGGCGGGGTGTCCGGATGGGACCGCGCCGTCGCCGAGGCCTCCGAGGTCTACTCGCACCGAATGCACAACCTGTTCTGTGACAATTGCCACTCACATACGGCGCGCGCGCTCAATCTGATGGCCTACGACGGCAGCATCTCGTGGAATATGGTGAAGCTGGCGGCGCTGATGCTGGTCAAGGGCCGCTTCACGGGCTTCTGCGGCTTCCTGAAGACGTGGGTGCCGTTCTTCATGCTGACCGGAGCCGTGCTTGTGTTCCTCTGGGTGACGCACGTCCTCTGAAGGACGGAAAGGATGTGCGATTATACGCGGTGTCACAACGCGTAAACTGAGGCAATGTCACTGAGATATATTTGAACAACAAACTGACATTGACAGTGAATCGGGCTATGACAGTGAAACACTGGTCAGTGGACGCGGCAGCAGCAGTGATTGGCTACCGTAGACTGAAGTGACGGCAGATCCCAAAGAGTGGATGCCTATGAGACACACTCGAGAGATACTCGACAGATGTTTGTGCCCGTGCTGTATTTCGTCATCTCATGTAATGTATTCACATTTTCATGTGCACGTTATGCTGAAAAGTCACAGCCTTTGAAGCCGCCCAGGGCCTCATTATTTCACAATGCGACTCAATGTTATGATGTTATGGTGCAGCTTGTTGCTTGTTTCGCTTTATTACTTACCTAGTCTCCCACCAGTTATTCCTCGCTGTTTTATTATCAATGTTGGCGGGGTTCGATTCGAGTATTCCGAACGAGTTTCCGGCCATATTCCACCCTTATTGCTTCACTACGCCGTCAATAGTTGGAAGTTGGTGCTGGCTTTCCAGCCTCGAGCCCGGCTACCTGGCGGCAGCAGACCACAGAAAGCACGACCTTTGGATGGGACAACTTTCTCCCCAAGTTGGGGGCGGCTGCGACTGGGTAGCGCGCGCTGGAGTCGCCCTGCGGTCTCTCTGGGGACGGTGGGGCCGGGCCAGTGGCCCACAGGCGGCCGGGGTGGGACAGGAGCCGAGGAGCCGTCCTGTATTGACCGGTTGGTAACCGTGCACCGCCCGCCGGCTCCAGCTGGCGTGTGCGTGACCCGGCCCGACCGGCGCCGCACCTGTTCATCAACACTGCAGCTAACACACGGCCCGGCCCGGCGCGAGTCTAACCAGCGTGAGCGACAGACTGGGAGACACGGGTTGCGACCTTCACCCCCGTGTTCGCCGCCGCGCCGGTGGCTCGGGCGACCCAGCGCCGATCCGTCATCCGGGAAGTCTGCCGACTGTTGTGTCGTGACCCGCGGGATGAGAATCGAATATCACCCGAACCGGCCTGATCTGGCTCGCCGGTCGGCCGCCATACTGCTGTTTCCATTATTCATATGGGCTGCGGCCGCCCGCGGTCCTGCGGACTGTTCCAATTTTGCGGTGTGAGCTGGGAATACAGCCGTTATGCATTCGGCGTGTGATCTGGGGAATACAGCCGTTATGTATTTATTGTTTCGGGTGCCTGATTCGACTTCAAAGGAGAGCGGCTGTGGCGGTGCGCTCATAACATGTTAGTAGGAAGAGGAAAAGAGGAGCGGGCTTGGACTAGATCAAATAGTTCAATTTGGTTGGTACCGCTTTATCTAATCTTTACCGCCGGTCCAGTTAGTTCGAGTACACTCCATCGCCAATGAAATAAGCGTATGTACAAAATAAAGAACACAACAATCAATGTCTCATCCAAATCATTATACACGCGAGTCGCGACCTCCAAAGGTTATACAACGCGACCTCTACATTTCAATTTTTTTCGAAAAAGCGCGCCTGATTCGCCTTTGGTTTGCTTATAACTGCCGGTAGGCGGTAGCATAGCAAGACAAATGTTCAGCCAGCGGTCAGAGCAACCCATCCGTCACACACTGACCGGTACACCCCACCCCACTCGAGTTGGTGCGAAAGTGATGATATTTATCGCGTTCAAACGATTCGACGCAGCAGCCCTTATCTTGACTCATAGTATGGAACACACCGTGTTCCCTTCGTCCTTGTCAACTGTCACACCTGAGTAAAAATAACTGCCCTGCCACCACCAGGCGAGTAGCTATTTCACCTTCATTTACATTTTATGAGACGGCACGAGAAGTTACAGGCTGGCAAGCTCGTTTGATTAAGGCACACTGGCGACTGGGATCTTTATTGGGGTAGGCCCAGTTTCACTCCACGAATGTTGAACAGTTTGACTCCCTCGAGATTTAACGGCGTTATTTATCCGACTTTCATGATACCGCTGGTATCCAATAAATTGCACCTGCGTATTTACCAAGGCATTTGTCATCGTGAACCGAACGGATGCTCGTTTCCATTTTTAAATTGAGATACGTCTTGTTTGAATTACTGCCGAATTGACCTCGAATGAAAAACGGCAATGGACCTGGGCTGAAATGGGTACGAGCGATTAACATGAAATTGACACTGAATAATGGCATTGAATATCCTACCTAGTAGGCATCGTGAACGGGCTTTAGTAAGAGCATACCCTACTTTGAGACTCGAATTCGCCATAACGGCGATGGCATTGCGCTGTAGGAAATGAACTACCATTCGTCAATGTCGGCGTTTGCCCCCTCCCCCTTGTGTCTCAGCTGAGGCCGCCACAGCCAACCGCATAAACAAACCAAACATTGCCAATTTTAGCTCGATGTGTCTCACGACAAGTCTGACGGTGATTTCGGTATTGAGCACCATGATCACCATCACCGAAAACAAAACTGGATGGGCTCCAGTTGCACTGTCGCGAAGATAGGTCTCGAGGTTGCGAGACAAATACCGGGCGGCTGCTCGGAGTTAACGATCTACTATGGACGTCAAACCCCTTGAGACCCCACTTTTTTGCGATAATTTTTAAATGCGTCAACTCTCGTTGACAATATTCTGGCAATGTGTGTTTCAGAACCTGCCGAAACTTTTATTACTAAGGTATTTCGACGCCAAACGATTATGAAAGGTACTTCTCATTCACTCGTAATGTTAAATTTCACGGAACGAATCTGCTGTTTGGGTAGAGGCTACGCGCTCATGGGGCGGAGCCACGTAATGACGTCAGCGCTAAGCTCCGCCCTACCCCTCCGGCGCTCCTTGCCCGGCGACCGGTCACTCGCGTCTCTCGCTCCATTCAGGCTTGATGGTGGGCGGTAGCTGGTAGCGGTAGCGGGCGCTGGTAGATGGCATTTAGAGCAGATGGCGCTGGTGGCGAGGCTCGAGTGTGGCCGAGCGCAAGCCTCTGCCCGGGCCTGAATTGACCTTAGCATTACGAGTGAATGAGAAGTACCTACCTTCCATAATCGTTTGGCGTCAAAATACCTTAGTAATAAAAGTTTCGGCAGGTTCTGAAACACACATTGCCAGAATATTATCAACGAATGTTGACGCATTTAAAAATTATCGCAAAAAAGTGGGGTCTCAAGGGGTTTGACGTCCATAGTAGTCTTTAGATGGCGCTAGCAGTCGGCGCCTGGATGCTATGCTGTGCCGCACAGCTCCAAAGCCACGGCGGCGCCCGCAAGCGCGGCGGCCGAGTCCGGGTAATCTTGGACGCGTTCGCAGCTACTCGAATTTATTGCAACTGCCTTTCAACGTCTCGCAATGGATACTCCAATTATTTGTGCGTACCTTTGATACTTGATAGACGTGACCGGCCGCGGCGGCAGGTCGTCCCTACCTGTCCCGCTCAGTCACCGGCCGGCCGTTTCAGATGCTGTCCGCAGCGGGCGCGCCCCTGCTGCGCTCGGCGTCAGTGCTGGTCACCGGCCAGCGTCTGCTCAACTGTAACCGTGCCGTGGTGTGTCGCGTACACCGGCTGCGCCACCCTCAGCTCTACCCAACGACGGTGGTACTGTCCGACGGGGCCACCATCACCGCGCGCTACCACGAGCCGAGGAAAATCATCAAGGTAAGGAACCATCACCGGGCGAACATGGGCCCAGGAAAATCATCAAGGTAAGGAACCATCGCCATCACCATGCGCTATCACGAGCAGCGCAAAATCAAAGGTTGGTGAAAGGATGGGGCGAAGGAAGGGCGCGTGTGTGACCGGCGGAGTCTAAAGAAAGATGGGTACGTTTCACAGTGGTGTTTTACCAGAGTTTATGCAATAGGAATGTTTACCTACTGGCAGGTAATAATAGCCGTTTTCACGACGGTCATCTGGTACACATTTGGTGCACATCTGGTACAGATTAGGTGCAGATTTGGTCAAATCAGGTTCAGTGTGTCTCTTAGCAGCTATCAGCTAGGCTTGCATTAATTGCTTATATGCCTGCTTTGTCATAAAATCAGAGAGCATCATCGATTAAAACACTGAAATAAATTCATAAAATGAAGATATTTGCAGTAAAAGAAATTAGGTGCAGATTTGGTCAAATCAGGTACATTCGCCGGATAGCCCGTCGTGAAAACGGCTAATATCAATTGTCGCATTGATTTAGTGTAAACCAAGTGTAAACCTTTGCTGTCGGTGCCGGTCGGCCTGTCTGACCCTACGCCCCGCTCCCCAGCTGCCGCTCGACCTCAGCACGCTCTCTGAGGAGGAGCGACTGGTGCGACTCCAGAGACGGAAGCCCAAGCAGAAGGTGGTCATTGAACAGGAGGTCGAGGACTCGTTCGACGTCAAAAAGTATCAGAAGTTCTGGAAACGCTGAGATGGGTGGACGGACGCGCCTTCAACGTGTTGGTATCAGAAGTTCTGGAAACGCTGAGACCGACAGACACCCCTTCGACGCCAGACAGTATCAGAAGTTCAGGAAAAGCTGAGCCGAGCGGGCGCTCTTTGGCTCTGGCCGGGCGTAAAAAGTAGTCAGGGAGGGATGCTGTGGCAGTCACCGGTGGCGTCAGTGAATGAAACGCAGCGCCATCAGTTGTTTGCTGAGGATGATGCGAACCTCACGGAACACCGCGCGCTATCGCGAGCCGCGGAAAATCATCAAGGTGTGTGGGACGGATGGCCTGGCGATGGTTTGTGTCTGTGAGAGGTTTGAGTAAGAGGTTTGAACTGAGTGAAGAGTAAGGCGCTGAGTAGCCAGTGATTTAGTTATTTCATGACTGGAATATGAAGAGACCTGCAACTGGATGTGAGTGTTTGTGGATGATGCAATACATGCTCGTTTGTAACCGATTTTTTAGCATCGTGAGGATTCTACATAGAAGAGTCAGTAAGTCAGTACTCTGAAGAACTAATCAGTGATGAGCTGGGATCAGTGGAGTCGATCGGAGACCCGTTCTGTGCCTGGAGCTGCCCGTCAGTGTGTGCCGTCCCAACAGCCGAGTAATCCAGTATGAGCCCACCGGAGACACGCTCTTATCCAGCGCTGCCCCTGTCAGTGAGTGTGTGCCTTCGCAGCAGTACGGTAATCCAGTCCGTCGGTCTGAACCTATTGGACATCCGTCTTACCCTGGACCTGGCTCTGCCAGTTTCTGCCGTCCCAGCAGTGAAGTAATCCAGTCTCCGAGCCCATCGGCGACTGGGACAGTCAGACTAGCGTGACACTAATTTGATCGGAGTGCAAACACAGAGGGGTGTTCAGTTCGTTTGGTCGATACTTTTATTAGTCGAACATGCCATCAGTGCTAATTAATGGAGCCCTGATCCTCTGATCAATGGTATCAACGAACTGGTAAATATACCCGAACATCACCATACTCGGGCAGGGGACGGAACGAGTCAGTTAATTTCACGTGTGATGATTGGTGCCGGCAATTGACGAGTCATAAAACAAATCACCGTGAGGACGGCACATAACACAGGCAGGCACATCGGCCATAATTTGTAGAAAAATGAACAAACAAATATAAATAAGACTAGACTAGTTGCTTGACACTCTGAGATCTGTGTGCTTTGGTCCCGTTAACATCGTATTCAAACACTGGTTCTATCTACTGTCGAGGCCCAATCATGTCTGTACTGAGTCCCCGCTGCTCGGGCCTTCTCTACTTTTTCTTTTTGCCGGCGCTAGCCTTATTAGCCTCCTCTGCTTCGGCCTCCAGCATCTTTGCCCTCTTCTTCCCGAGCGGCGTCTTGGTGAGCCAGGTGTAGTACATCTCCTGCTGCTCCCTGCGAATGGAGGTGGCGCGCTCAGGTCAGAGATGGGCTACATATGTAGTACAAAATACATATCCGAGATTAACTCACCTCAATTCAGACGGCCACTACAAAGTCCACGAATCAGCACTTATGAAAGAGCCCAAGGTCGTGGCAACGGTAACTTGGCTGGCGGGTGTATAATGCGTCGACGCTCCCATCGGACCAACAATGAGCCATCCATCGTTGGCGGCCGGTAGGACCTGACAAGATAGGCTTGTGCCGTCGGTGACCGGCAGGGGGTGAGTTCGATGGACCGCATTTGGCAGGGTTCGGCGGGGACGGACTGCCCAGTGTCGGGGCCTAAGCGCTGTGCCGGCGGACCGGCAGGGGGTGAGTTTGATGGGTTCGGCGGGGTAGACAGCAGACACCTTGCCAGGTAGTGTCGGGGCCCAAGCGCTGTGCCGGCGGACCCGCAGGGGTGACCGTTAGTTCGATGGGTTCGGCGGGGTAAACACCTTGCCAGGCAGGGTCGGGGCCCAGCGTTGTGCCGGCGGACCAGCAGAGAGCGGGTTCAATGAGTTCGTGGGGAATCGGTGACCGGTGTCGAGGCCTCAGCGCAGCGTCGGCTGACCGGCAGACGGTAAGTTCGATGGGTTCGGCGGGGCGAGACCGTATCGGTGCCGTGCGCTGGCCGCTGTGCCGGCGGTGGCCGCAGTGTCGTTATCACGTTCGCCGTCCACCGCGTCGGGCCGGTGATGGTGCCGGCGCCGGCCCTTACGAGCGCCCGGGGAGCGCCGCCGACCGTGGCTGGTCAGTTTACGACCTCCCTCCGACCCGTCCGACCGGTCAGGGGTCAGACGCGGAACCGAGCCCTGAGAGAGGGGAGGCGATTCTCCCGCCCCGTCCGACCGACCGCCAGGTCAGTGCCCAACTCTCAGGGAGAGGCGGCTCCCTCCCACCGAAGACGTAAGAATCCCTAGCAATTAATATCTGAAGCAGAGATTTCAGCACAGACTCCATCGCTCCGGTACCCGAGAGTGAGTGTAGGGCTCACTGCCTTCGGTATTGTTGCGCCCGCGCTGGAGTGGAGGACAAGATTAATAGGAAAACTTTTACATCTTATTACCCGACACAAACTTCAGGAAACCAAGTCGATTGACTTTCCGCTTTCTCCGGAAATTTAACGAGGTAACAAGATACTTGGAGTAGACTAGCAACATCTTGTGGTACCGGTAAAAAGAACTGAGTGGTAAATTGGAAAATACCTGCGAATGAAGCAACAAGGAGGGAGGGAGGGAAGGAGCGGGATAAAAATAAGGAGAAAAGATCACGAGAGAATAACCATTTACAATGCCTTACGTTACACGAACCATGAAGCAAAACAGAGACACGGCACCACATGAGGGCGCCATGGGGACAGTCCATTCAGCCATGGACTGCATGGGTCCGCCCAGTCTACCCAGCTCCGGAGACGGGCGACGGTCAACTCAACACACCGCCCCGCCGCTCCAGGCCGGCGTCTGCGCCGTCCGTCTCACCTCATCACCGGCTGCAGATTGGCCAGCACGGGGACGAACTCTGTGGTCTTCAGCGGCCGCTTCCGCAGCTTCACAATCCGCTTCTCGGTGACCACCTGCAGAGGCAACATCACCAACATCACCATCACCAACATCACCATCACCAACATCACCAGAGGGGCGTCAATCAGATCTGCGGTGGGGAGGGAAGGGGGATGAGACCCTCGTGGAGGAGAAGGTTGGGGAGCTCCAGGAAACCAAGCACGTAACATAATCCGCCCGGCGCAGCAGATACGAGATAGGAAGAGGGAGGGAGGGAGGGAGGGAGAGGAGAACGAGGGAGAGGAAGTGATGTAGGCTGGGAGATAGGAAGAGTAAGGGGAGGAGAGAGATGTCAGACAAACCAACAGATAGAAAAGTAGAAAAGTCAAAAGTATGAAGAGGAAAACTATTAAAAAAGCGAGCATACAGAAAAACGTAAAGAAGTGAGTTAAGATAATCAAATAAAACGGAAGACGCAGAAGACATAACATCATCACGGTGCTGATAACTGCTGCGACCTCCATACTTAATAGGCGAGGAACTTTGAAATATCCCTGTTTCATCAGAAGTGCCTCGATCTCAGTCCTCTTATTCTTTTCCAATCAAACGGTAGTAGCCAGAACAGAATCGAAATCCTGCTCACCAAACGGCAAAGTTTGCCCTGACACGGGCCGTTATTCCGAGCGTGGTGTGCCATAGGGCTTCGGGGAGAACTGACGCAATCGGTACTCAGTCAAAGTGAACTGACTTCTTTGAATCGAGAGAGGAGGGTCGCCGAATACACAGCCCGACATTTATTGCCAGGCTGCGCAAACTGCGACGCTCGTTCAGAGCACAATGGGGACCGAGACCAAATATCACGTGTGTGATTTGCATGTGGTGAGAGCTGAGTGACGGTTCATTTGAAAGCCACAGCACGGCCTGGTCTCGGCATACCATTGTGAGACAGGTCGTGTCTGTTTTCAGCACACGGTCACGCACACACTACATCACCCACACACACACACACATACACACATCACCTAGACCAGTCCACGTCTCCTTTTCTCCCGTATGTATATACACCCGCTGCCTGTCACGACCATGCTGCGCCGAGAGGCCGTCCCAGCCCACCCCAGTCCCATACATACTGTATGGCACTGTTCGGCTGCCACCTGTCTCGTTACCCCGCACTCCCATTGGACAGTATTGGCCTCTGTCGACAGACACGTGCCGCCGCCGCCCCCGTCCGTTCTGGGGGCGGGTGCGGGGGCGGCACACCGCTCGGCAGTGGTAGTAGCGATGAACCGCCCCCGCCCGTCCTGAGAAAAGTTCAGCTGGGGCGGCACATCTCTCGGCAGCCAGTGATGACCCGACCCGCCCGCTCCGGGCGGGGGCGGAGGCGGCACACCTCTCGGCAGTGTAGTAGACTAGTGATGACCCGCCCCCGCCTCCGCTCGTCCGACGCAACCGCTCCGGGCGGGGTCGGTACATACACCTCTCGCCAGTGGCGATGACCCGTCCCCGCCCCGCCCGCAGCGACCGCTAGGGGCGGGGCGGCACACCTCTCGGCAGTGTGGTGGTGATGACCCGTACCCGCCTCCGCTCGTCCGACGCAACCGCTCAGGGAGAAGACGGGGGCGGCACACCTTTCGGCAGTGTTAAGGACCCGTCCCCGCCCCCGCCCGTCCGCAGTGACCGCTCAGGGCGGGGGGGGGGGGAGGGCACGGCAACACCTATCGGCAATGCAGTGGTGATGACCTGCCATCGGCGGCACACCTCCAGTCAGAGACAGTCGCCGGGTACGGTAGAGGGGACAGAGGAGAGGGTTGAGGAGAGACCGGGAGTTCGAGGAAAAGTGGAGGTGGAAGCATAGGAACGGGAGACAATCGTGCGAATAAGAGATACCTATTGTTTGAAAAGGAAATGTACTCACAATTTTTGTATGAAATAGGACACAATGGAGAAGGAAATAGCCGGTTGAAAAGACGAGATATAGAATACTCAGAGAAGCAAAAAAAAAAAAAAAACTCATGAGCAAGGGTCTAGCTCAAACACAGAATTCAGACATGTCGGGTGGGCGAAAACAAGAAGAAATACGCCGCAAGCATCGGTGGTCACGGATCACAGAAGTATCGCGAGCGTTCTGAACCACAGCTCGTGAGAAGGTCAAGCCAATGATCGATTACCCAGGAGGCATCAGTGACCGGTGAGCTGCTTCTGAACCGCTCGCTAGCAGAGGTCACTCTGCAGTGGCCGTCGCTGACCCCGCTGACCACCAGGGACGTGGTCCCCTGTTCCACCGGGTCACGGGTCACGGGTGGTCCGTGACCGGCAGACCGTGCCGTGCTCCGTTTCGCGGTGACCGTGCTCACAGACTGCTGAAGCCCAGGCGGGTAACGGCCGGAGCGGAAACGCTCCGTTGACTGCAACAGAGAGGTCTGGACCGCCAACGGCGGGCCCCTCCACTCGGGCGGCCACATTGCGGTCATTACTAAAAGGAACGGACGATTTGTCCGTCCCGGCCGGCCCCCAGATGAGGCCATAACCGA